TATTGATTGTATGATAGATGAACACTGATGTATTTCAGCCTCTGACTTGGATATCTCTGTTATTAATATATATTTATTTTAAGCATCACATCCAACTAAAAAATGGGTATTAAAACAATAACAAAAATCACACAGCAAGCGAAAAGCTTTTAATACGGAGGAAAAAATGGGATTTGAAAAAAAACTTCGTTAAATGTTATAATTCGTTCAACTACCATTTTCTTTCCCAACCCGTAATTTAAGACAATTTTGGAGCAATTGGGTACTAGCAACTAATCACATTGTTGTGTCGAATCACGTGGTTGTGCATGGCATGCTAACGTTAAGACTTGGGTTTATAATCTGGATGTATCAATTTTCGGATCAGATGTAATTGGATGCCTGCAAGCTACGTCAAGTGTGTTTGTCGAGCCTGATTAACTGAGCTACTCGTGACGTCACTTGAAAGCACCCAATTGTCATGACTCCAGAACTAAAGTTAAATAGAGGAACCCTAATGTGAAAGGAATATACAAATTCTATAATTGCGGATAGGATCTGTAGAATGAAGTGACCACTCATAAAAAGTGACCACTATATCCACTGAGCTTTACTGGCATCACAAATAAGGTAAGCAACAAATATGTTTCTTTTTATCAGCTGGGTGATCCATAATCATTTCATTAGACTTTTAATTGAAATCTTGTAAAAATAAGGTTAAAAACAAAACTAGGAATAAAAAATTAGACTTTTTAAATAAAAACAAATGCGTCCGTATAAAGGTTTCAGTTGAATGTCTTCACATGTAGTGGGAAAAAAAAGGTTCCGTAGTTTTTCCTACTCAGTATCGCCATCTATTGACAAAGTTTTTAACTTATTTAAAGTCCTGATAATGAATTATCTGATTCCTTTAAGCAGAATGTAGCAAACCGTATATTTCCTATCTGCTTCCCTTTTTCTTTTATTGATTTTTCGAATCACCAATCATTTTGGTATAATATATCCATGAGGAATAATCCTTCAAAACCATGTACCCGCAAGTCATGGTATTCCACAGTTCACAATCATGGATATTTTACAGAGAATAAAACAAGATTAAATAAGCATAAAGATAAACGTTTACTTTAATTCTGGATCAACCACGGTAGATGGATCATTTATTGCACCCATTTTCGCTGTACCAACTGCGTGACTCATAGTGGTGACAATAGATCCAGCTTGGCATGCAAAATAGCCATCTGTATTGCCTAAATATTTCTCACAGCCAGGATACACAGTTTGAAATGGTCTTGCACCAACATTTTGCAACGGCTTTGTCATCGCAATTCTGTGACAAGTCTTCATTCCTATTCGAAGTAAAAGAGGTTATTGAGCTTAAAAATTACCTGTAAATTTATTACGATATAATTTTCACTTGCATTAATATTATCTAACGTAAAATAATTTCCATTTGTTAGGTGATAATTAAAAGCTTAACATTTCTTTATTTCCTGTTCTTCTTAATATTTTTTCAGGTAAACTTGACGTAATATTACATTTGGAATATGTATATGTAAATGTGGTATTTTATGATAAATTAATTGTTTCACGTTTTTCCCGTTCCAATTTTTAAACTGGACAAGAAATTTTTAAATTGTGAAGGCGTTATGCATTAATTTTGTACGAGTACCGATTTATGGGAATCATATTGCAATCTATCTAATTAGTTGAGGTATTGTTTTCTACGTATTTGTTTACGCTGAATCGACTGTACATCTTGTACACTATAAACATACAGGATGACAGTTTAAAAGTTGTAAGGTTTTTTATGTATAAATAGTACTACTTTTGACATGCAGTTGTGTACAGCTCTTAAATTGCTATTTAATGGCTATCTGGATATATTTATGCATATTCATCATGCTATCTAGATGTATTATGCATATTTATGAACAATATATTTTCTGATGAGACTTTGCATGTTGAATTAAATAAGACCAAAACTCTGAAGTGAATAGATAAATATATTCGAAATTAGAAGGGTTTTTTTTTCATATAAAGTAGTACAGTTCCAAAAATTGCACTCTTTATACAATAAAACCAAGAAATATTTGTCTTATTGACTCACTTTTTGTTTCGTTCGATTTAGCTAAGTAAACTGCTTAAACGACACCCTACTTTTCTTTATTGCAATTTCAGAAACTTATTTAGGTTCAAGTTACATAGCTTCTAAACGATTAGTCCGTGTTTGGTTTCATTTCAAACAGTGCAAAATACTACGTAAAAGACAATACACCATTCATCTTATATACCCCGGATGCCCCCGCTAGGGGGCGGGACGGGGTTGAGCTTTGAATATATAGCACTGCGAAAATTTTACGTAAGTAAATAGCACTTTTTTACCCATAAAAACTCTTACAACTTTTGAACTAATCACCCCACTGGCTCGTGCTTATTTTCAATCAATTTAGATAAAAGATGAATAGGAATAATGCCTCATTTCTTACGAGAGTTATGCCAGGTGCGTATAAAATTTCGCTTTTCTTGCATTTTCTATAACCGTTATAAGACCTAAATTAATCTTTCAATATTACAGAAATCGTTCTTGTTTAATTTGACGTAAAAACTACTTATAAAAAATAGCCGATATGCGTTAACAGCAGAAAGTTTATTACTTATTTCCCCCTCTTTTCTTCCCTCCTTTCAAAGCTTGACGTAAGAGACCCTGCAACTATTTATCACTTCAAATAACGTATAATAATGTGCCACGTGTTCGAATTTTCGAACTATCTTCTCGATAAACGAAATTATCAAAAAAAGTCAGTGGCAGATGAACAGTAATTTTAAATAACTCATATTCACTATAGAAAAATGAAAAAAGCATTGAAAGAAATAGTTTTAAAATTTATTTCACCTTTTGATTAAAATCATTAATTATAATTTCATTACCTTCAACCATATCTTTTAAGTCCTGTGGATTTGCGAAGTAATTAGGATCAATAAGAGGAGGATCTTCAGGATTGGAAGACAATAACTTTACATATCCTCTACTTTTTGGCTGAATAACAGAAGCGAAGCAAGTAAGAAATGTCTTGTTTTCGTACGGAGCGAATATTTGGTCTAATGCCTGCAAAGAAATTTTTGTAGAAATTTGTATGCACGTTTTCAATTTATTCATTAATTATTCTCTATTCTCACTACACTCACTTTTAGAACATTAATGTTGTTCAAAGAAAAAAAGAAACATAAATTGTAGGCAGTGATGGGCATCATTCACGAAAATTTTATTCATGACTAAATTCATTCATAGTAAATTTATTCTGAATGATTATTCATACGAAAATTTAGTCATTATTAATCATTCATTATGCAAATGTATAAAAATTTTTGAATAATGATTGATGAATAAACTCATTAGTCATGAATAATTTTTCTGAATGAAATTTTGAATAACCAGCAAAAAATGCAATCGATATGTCTTTGTCTATAACAAGATGCAAAACATCGTTTGCTCTTAAACTTCTTATTTTAGGAATTAAACTATAAAACTAAGCCAAGTATGACTATTTATTTTTATGTTATTTAAACTTACTCCTGCGTAACATACTTAGTTGTGCTAAAAAGTAGGTTTATAACAGTTTAGTTATTTAAGTTCATTATAAACTTTTGTTCTAAAAACTATAAAACGCAATTTTTTATAGTTTTTGAAAGCAAACGATAATACTATTTTAAATTTTTAAACAAAATTTTAACTTAGAAAATTAAACGCTTTTTTGCCATGTAACCATTTCTCAAAAGTATGCAATACGTTAGACAAAAGTAAATTTTCTCAAACATTATATAAATATACTTGAAAAGGATTACGTTTTATTTGTAGTTGTCATAATCGTAGTCAATTAGAGTATCGCGTGCCCATTTTTGTTGACCAGTGAAATTATTCAGTTATTTTTGACTAATGAATAAAGGATACTGTATAACGAATAATGAATGATTTATTCTTTATTCAAAATATTTCTGACTAATGAATAAATCTTTATTCATCATTCATTATTCAGATTTTGAATAATTATTCATCATTCTTTATTCATTATTCTGAATGACAAATGACCATCTCTGATTGTAGGTCACACCTTAGCAATGTACGTAATGATGTAAAATGAAGCTGGTGTTTAAGTGGTTCAGCCGGTTAGAACGTTGTCATCACCGAAATGAAGGCTCTGAGTTAGATCATGACGACTAACTGATCAACCAGCATTAGATCGCAACAAACTGTATGCCAAATTTGCTTTTGTTGAAAGTTCTCACATGAGAATGGTGAGAAAATATATGGTAGTAAAAACCAACTTAGGAACGTCAACGTCATTTGACCAGGGTAAAAATTAAATACCGTTGGTATTATGGCAATAAAAATTAGAGCCTTAAGATACCTGCCTTTGTGGTTGACATAGTTGAGTGATGTTTAAAGGGAAGTATCTATCTATATTATATAAAACGTTAATACGTACGTATGTATGTATGTATCAATAAAACCGATGATATTTCTTTTCTCGCGCTGGCAACAGTTTTCCTTTTTAATTGATTGCATTCGGCGCGCAAGAGCACGTAGTGAGCAACCAGATAACAATAACCAGAGTGAGCATTATCAGGTTGTTCAATTCAGATTCATGCACTAAAAACATGACAATATTTAATTTAAAATCAATTAGGAATTAATTAATTAATTGAAGTGAGAATGCTTTAAAAGGCAGCTGTTGAATTGATATTTTCTACTGGGAGCTACCTAAACGTCTAAAAAACGTTTAAGTGTTTGTATTGAATGCATTGAATTTTTTTATATTTCGCATTTATTTATGCATTGAATTTTCACGCTTTTAAATGCAGAATATTAGTGAAGCAATATTTGATAATTTATTTTGCTAATATGTTTCTTATTTAGCTAATGTTTTGATTTTTTCACCATGTACAATCTAAATAGCTAATATACTTTTTTAAAAGCCAATAAGAACATTGGTAGAATTCTTCTACATTAGTACAATACTATGTCTTTGATGATAAAATACTATGTCTTTGATGATAAAATACTATGTCTTTGTGCTAGAACATTGTGTTCATTGGCGAGCGAGAGCAGAGAGCCATGGTTCACGGCGTGAACCACATAAGATTGCGTAGCAATTCTCGGGGGTTGGCGAGCGTTAGCGAGCAGGGGGCGGAGCCTCCTAGTATTTTTTAACAGGCGTGCAAAATATTCAAACACTAGCTGAAAAAATTTTCAAGAATTTAACAAAATGTGAATTAAATGCTTCTTTTTCAGGCGATGAAATTTATGTAATTGTTGATATATAAATATGTTTATCTAAATGTTTTTAATATGCGTTAAAAATATTCCAAGTTACACATGAATATTTAAGTAACATTTTTGTTAATTTGTGTAAAATGGAGAAAACATTTTGAGTTGAGATAAATATGAAATTTTTTATTAAATATTATCTACTATAAAAAATTTGAAGAATTTTTTAACAAACTTAAAACATACTTTATTTTTCGTATAGTTTTGTCATACCATTATAGGCATTACATGTTTCCTAACTTTTAAGTTTATTTTATTTCCTAAATTTATATTCCTATTTAATTAATCCTAATCCCACATTAAATGAAAAAGTTAGCTAATTGCTTTTTATTAAATTTCATAAAGAGCGAATAAGATTATTTCCATTCCATAATAAAAAGTAACGGCTTACTTTTTTTTCAATGTTAGAATTTAATCTTCATTCTAAAATTACGGTAATATAACCGGCAACAGTCTGCCCATTCAACTAACCGTAAAGTTTACAGTATAAAACAATTTCTACTTTAACGATTTTGAAAGCGTTTGCAACTAGTATAGTTAAAAAGCCACGAATACAAAACTATACGGTTTTGTAACCATTTACAACTAGTATTGTTTCAAAACTGTACAAAAGAAATTTAACTGGACATTAGAGATAGTTCAGTAGCTTTATGGTGCTACCCTTGGCTATCAGTGATAACAGATGTATATTTTGTTTGCCAAGGTGCTGTCATATATGTGTAAATGAGAGCACCGTATTCTAATAGCCAAGGGTCACAATTTTCGGAGTGCAGGACACTAGAAATTTTTCATGTTTTATAGGTAATGAAGAAAATATTGTAGTGTCAACTCTGAAACTCGAACTCTAGTTCTGTCGGTCATGAGATTGACAGATTAGCCCTCTCGTTTTCAATATGTACCTCTCTGCAATGAACTAAATAATATCTTTTGGTGCTTCTAGTTTGTGCGATGAAATTCTGGTTGTTTCACCGTATATGGTGAAAGCAGTTAAGGAATAGTGTTTCTCACAGTTAACGGTTTGAATATCATTTTATTCATGATTATTTGACGGTTTTGTTCGAATATTGTAAATAACAATCAAATAAATTGTCGTTTAACCATTTTTCCGAGAAATTTTTAACAGTGTGAACAGATCTATGTTAATAGATAAGGAAAAAGCTCTAAGGAAAATTTCAGCTAAGACTCGTTTCTTTATAAGAGAGAAATTTTCTTTACATATTAACACAAAAACTACTCACATATTCTTGTATATTAAAATTTCTTTTTAAATCTGCTGCACTACCCAGAAAAAAGTAGAGCTCATAGTTTGGAAAATCTATTTTTGGTCTGATATATGAATCCTTTAGAAACGCCAACGCTATCACACCCTCTGGTGACGCCAAATAACCTGAAATAAAATATCAAATTATGATTAAGTTAAAGCCTTTCTCGTGTTATTAGATTGATTTTAAGAACTAAATTATATCTCTTACGTAACTATTCTGTACGTAACTATACTATATAAGTATTCTGTACGTATTACCTAACTAGATGCGTATTCTGTGCGTAAAAGAATTCCTAATTATTTTTAACACTTACTTATTTAAAAAGAAATAACCATCCTTGGTGATTAGTTTGTTTTTATTCTGCAACTTTTTAATTAAAAGCATCTGCCAAATAAAAAACCTTTTATTTCTGTAAAAATTTATATCGATTAATCAATGTAAACTATATTTAGTTATTTTAAACTTATAAGCTTATCTCCAAAATACACATATACTGAAATAAAAAATATGCAATTCATAACTTAACTTAAAAAGACAAGCGATTGCCTGAAAGTTAATAATTAAACTTAAATCAACATTGCTGAAATCAACCTCTGAATTTACCCCGAAGTGTCTTTATATCCCAGGTAGATTTTTAATAATAACAGATTGTTATAAATCGATGATCTTTATAAATCGATATAATTTAAAAAAATATTTATTGAGATTGGATATTTAATAAAATGTAAAATAAAATAAAAAATCCTTACATTTATAGCAAAATAGATGGTTATAAAAATGAGATTTAACACGAATTAGATTTAAAACTAACAACTCGTAGGATTTCCCCATACACACAATTAAAACTTTCAGGTTTGGAAATTGTTATTAATACGTAAAATGCATAAATATTTTTTAAAAAATTTAGATAAGAAAGAAATAAGCATCTTAGCAAAGCTGTTAAGAATTGTATTAGCTTAACAGGGTTAATAATTTTAATTATTTTTAATAATTGCCATTTTTAAAATTTTTATTTATATACCAGGGTCAAAACAAAAAATTTAGATTTATATATTGATCAAGGTATTTATGGCCGATCTCCGTTGATAAAAAACATCTTTATCTGTGTTAATTAATCATCATTAATAATGAATGCATTATGAAAATTGTTGAAAATTATTATTAAAAATTTTTATAGTTAATAATTTTAATTATTTTTTATAATTGCCATTATTAAAATTTGTATTAATATACCAGGGTCAAAACAAAAAATTTAG